AGGGAACCTTACCACTACAGCTTCTACTGTTTAAGCTGGTTAAGTTTAGGTGTTTGTTTATCCAAGCCAAATGCGTCTTTCAAAGCTTTTATTAGCTAAGAGAAGTAAAATCAGTGCTCCTGTATGTTGGATATTTTCTAGTTTGAATATATAACTGGAGAGAAGACAAGGAGAAGATAATAAAATGAAAAGGCAAAATTGATTTCTTCAGAATTGCACGTGGTAGTATCCCTTTGACCTTATTGGAACATGAGGAACCATGCTGAAATAGCAATTTTTTAAAATTCCCTTTTGCTTTGTAACAAAATCAAGTCATAGTTTTCTTTGGAAAAATGCATTCGCCAGTGAACAGTAGGGGAGGAATAAGGTCTTATAGTCAGTTGAAATGATGCAAGTGATTCATAATAGCCTAGAGAAAGGGCTAGAGAACCTTGGAGGCAAATGGTGTATAACTTTGATGGGTATAGACCTGGGAATTCCTAATTCTTCAAAGTTAAGAGGAAGCAAAGCATCTCCAAGGCAAATGATGGTTCTAGGAATTGTGAGATTGACAGTACCTACTGTGTGTGGCATTCCTATTGGAATATGTAACCTCCTACAAGTGAAAATTTTTCAATTATATGAAAAGCAGTATGTTTATAAAAAGGAAAGCAGAGAGCAAGAAACAAACACTGAACAAAACTCTCAGAAGAGAGAAGTTGCAATCGAGTCAACTCCCCTAACACTGTTTCATTTGTTTGGCTAAAGTCCAGTTTTCAATGGGGGAGATGAAGGTTGAAATGGTAACAACCAAGGTGTAGTAAGAAGGGAGCATCCCTCAGACGAAGAAGTGTTACCATGACCTACTTGAGGCTAACATGGGAAATAGAAATGATTTATTGTGAAACTCCTGTGTTAATCTTAAATTTTGCTTCCTAGTAGGGCCGGAAGGTTAGCAGAACTATTTTCCTCCCATCACCATACTTATGCAACCCACTCACAGCCCTTCTACAATTCTGGCTTCCGGCCTTGGGGAGGGGGAAGTAGGTTAAAATGGATTATGTAATGCTCGCTTAGAGTTGTTGGGGGAAGAACGTGTGCATGACTAAGTAGTGCAGCTCCCTCTGTCCTTTTATATTTGCTCTAATCAAATTTTATTCTGAATGAAATTCTGGAGAGAGTGAAATGAAATGGAGAGTGAAGGGTGCAGATCGCAGAAATTCTTCCTTATCTCCCACAGAGATACCAATATCTGTGGGCGAAAACAAGTGACAACTAGGAACAAAGAGAACTTTTGTATTTGCCTCAGCAGAAAGCACTGAAGTTGAGTTTTTGAATCGGCTGAGCCATTTTACCCCATAACTTTTCATTACAGAACGTTATGTCCCTACAAGATTGCACTATTAGTTGGATTTTTTTTAACATTTAGGGAGAATTATAACGAAAGCAGTTTTATATAAGATTTGTCTATTCAAATTTTTGCTAACAATAAAAAAATTTCCTAAATATTTAACCTGCCTTGTATTCTTAAAATACTTGAAAAATACTGTGGGCAAAGGAAAACTGTTAAAAATATGAGTTCACACAATTACACTTGCTTCTATGAATTTTCTAATTAAATCAAAATCAGTTTTATTCTAGAGGAAGATAAATAAAAGAAAGGAGGGTAGGGGGAACACAAAATAAAAGGAAGGAAGGTAGGGGGAACACAAAACGGGAGGGAGACAAGGACAGAAGGAAGAAACCAAGAAACAGACATTTATTGAGCATCCATTATGATCCAAAACAGTGTTAGTCGCTTTGATTAAGCATTCTCTTTCGTGCACGTTTAATTCTCCCAAAACTCTATGGACCCCACTTTATTTTTAGAGGAGAAAGCAATATATTCAGCCATATTACATTTGACATTTATGACAAGACATAGATACTAGAAAGGCGAAATAAACCCTCCCACAGAATTTGGCACAGATATTGCCCTATACGAATTTGCTTTCCAAGGCTTGTTTTTTATCCATAACCATTACATTTTAAGGCACTAGATATTGCTCTGGTCCTGGAAAGGGGAAGCTCTGTAGATTGGCCCTTCTCCGTATTAAGTGATGAATTTGGCTCTTTGCAATTAAGTGCAGGATTCTATCTTCTTCGGGAACATTATCTGGGTTCATGTATAGTCCTGTTACCAGGAGCAAAGCCTGATTGAGGGTTTTCCTGAATGATCTTCTTCAGGTAGGTAAAAAAGAAAAGGGTCTGGTGCCCTTTCACCCTGACCTGGAAGTGGTTCAAGAAGAGTTAGAAATAAAAAGAAAAATTGGAACCATTTGCTACATAATGGTAGGAGAAACTTCGTGATCATTTCTGAACATTTACAGTGTTTAACTGTATGAATGAAACATGGAGTATCATAGCACCTCTTCTCCAGGTAGCTTGAAATTAGTCCGCTTTCTTTCTGTAACACCCTTGGTTAAATCTGCAGCTACCTCTTGATGTCTTAAACCACTTCACTCTTCCTAAGAAGTTTCAATGTTAAATACCTGCTAGTCAGCAAGATAGTTTCAGCTCACAGTTAATTACATATAGTTTAAAGCAGTCTGCAGTCTCTGAAAATTAGCACCGTCTGCATTTCCTGCAAATAGTTATTAGATGAACCTAGAAATTAATAGGTAATCAAGATCAATAACAGATTCACCAAAACACAAAATTCTGTACATTCTTTACTATCTTCATTTTGTTATGTCTCCATCGAAACATTTATTTTGGGGCAACTTGCATTTGCTGTGGCAGGTACTTGTGGTCGCTGTCTCACAGGATTGGAGGGTAGCAAAAGGATGGAAGGATGACAGAGAGGATGGAAAATGAGATTAGGTAAAAGACATAGCTGAGTGGATAAAATGAGACGTGATAGTGTTTTTTTTGTTTGTTTTTTTTTTTTTTTGCAGTACGCGGGCCCCTCAAACAAAAAAATGCTTTTACATGTTACAAATATGTGACGACCAAAATACACTAAACCAAAAAAATAAAAATCTTCATAATCCATGTATTATTACTGCAACCTTGTTTTCCACAAATGAGTTACAAGTGTGCACAGAAAAGTAAAAAGTCTGCAGAAATATTTATCCCCCCAGACACCTACTTAGTTGAACAAGACTCCGTGTCCCCTGCATCGGCAGGCGGACTCTCAACAACTGCGCCACCAGGGAAGCCCCGTGATAGTGTTTTTAATGGCTAAATCTGAAATTACTTGTTTTTCTTGGCTGAATTAGTCATAGTTTTGTGAGTGCCAAAGAAATAGGTAAGGATGATCAAAGTATCTGTAGCAAAATTTTTGAGAGAAGAGTAACCATATAGATCCCAATATTAGGGTGTTTTTGAGGGTGGAGCCCTGCATATAGCACTGACATTTAAAAATCCTTATTAGTCTATTATAATTCATTAATAGATTGCAACTCAAAAATACGTGTTTGGAACAGTTTACCACTTGGATATGCATGTTCAGAGCAGTCTGACAAAAACTGAATGTCTTCAATGTTCATCTTATATTTGGGATATAAAATATGCGGCCGTCTTCTATGACTGCAGAATGGGGCTTGCTTCCTGGTTATGTGGGCTTCATTAGACAATGCCAGAACCCAGGCGGCTACTGAGTCTCGAGAACTTTGCTCAAAATTAGCATCAGCTACCACCTGGTAAGGTAAGGCATTTTGGTCATGGCCAAATTAGCTTTCTTTTTGGCCAACTCTTCAGCTTTTTAAAAGCTAAAGAGTTAAGACTTCTTATAGGTGTGATTATCTTAGAAGGAGATTCAAACATTTTAAATGTGCTTTTCTACCCATTAAAAAATGTATCTGACTTTAGTAATAAAAATATTCTCAGTGGATGTCAGCACAAGATTTTTTAAAGCAAAAAGTAGGGGAAATTTTATATTTCTCAAACCAATTTGCAGTCCATATGTCATTTAATCTTCGTAATAACCCTGTGGATATCCCCCATTTTAATATAAATAAACTAAATCTCAGAAATTTTAGGTGATTTATAACAGAATTACCAATCAGGTATTTTAAAGTTCATCTTCAGATCCTGAATGAACACATGCCCTAAATGCTAGAAATCTAATTATTTGTCACTCCTTAATATGATCAAGGATTTCCCTGCAAACTGATGAAAACATGTTTTTTCATTTCTCTGTATTCAGTATCAGAAGATAGGTTCTGATATATAGTCTATTAGAAGGAAAAAAGAGCATGGATAAGTGTTAACATATGGCTTTCAGGATAATTTTGTTGCTTTTACATTTTACTTGATGAAATAAAATAATGACAATTTTTTTTATGCTTTAGTTCGGTTTCTTGCTGATACATCAGTCCCAGACTTACTACCAACGTTGGGGTCTTATTGATACAGTAATCACGTTTGCCACAAGCTTGAACTCTATGAGTGTAAAATTGAGATTGTAGCCCAATACCACCTCAGGACTTTAAGTCACAGAAATGTATAATCTGGTTGCATCAGAACAGAAGGAGTAATTCCATTGCAGCAGAATCTACCACAGTTGTGTAGATGTGACTAAACAGTTGAATTTCATACTTCCACTCTGAGATATTCATGAAAAATTCTATGTTTAGATTAGGTGGTTAGTTAAAGGAATACTTATATCTCACACATGCATTTAACCATCCTGTCCACTGTAATTTTACTGTCTGGTCTCAGAAAGGGGAAGAAAAAAAGTTTGGATGATACTTTTTTCTTTGACTGTGTTAGTTTCTCCTTAGGCAGATATTTTTGTCATCCTTCTTTTGAGTCCAATTTTCCTAAAGTTTGTTTATGTCAATGGCTCTTGACAAACTGATAAAATGTTTCCAGAAAGCACATGGATTTGGAACTCTCTCTCCTTATGTTTATATTAGGCTTTGTTTTAAAGGCAAGTGAGACTGCTTCAAATAAAACAACTCCAAGCTTCCAAGAAACAGTTAAGAGAAGGCAGAGACGGGCAGAAACACCCCTTCACTAACACTCACACGGTTGCCATGGACCTACATAAGCAGTGGGAGAACACAGAGACTAACTGGCGCAAGGAAAAGATGGAGTTACTGGACCAGTTTGACAATGAAAGAAAGGAATGGGAAAGTCAATGGAAGATCATGCAGAAGAAGATAGAAGAGGTACAGGTTGATTTGTTTTGAATGCACTGGAAACTTAAAACTCAGAATGAAAATTCTGTTGGTTTGTTTTGTATTGGAAACGATTTTTACTTTCCAATTCCACCTAAACGATGCATGTCTCAGTGATATTTACTAGACCAGAAATAGCATAACCTAACCCAATATCACTGTAGAGACTATGCTAATTTATAGCTTTGCATGCAAATTAGAACTTGAAATGTCTTTCTAAAGTGTATCAATTTATTATTTTCTAACTAGAGTGCCATGGTATCAAAAGTGAGGTATGTATTTTGCATAAGTTTTCAAATTCCGGGCCCAGGATGAAAACAGAAGAAAAACGTAATTAATGGAACATATTTTAGTAAAATTATAATTGGGCATTAAAATACAGATCTTTTCAGAGATGACTTATGAATAATGTCTACTAAAGGCAGTTATGTATTAGATAATTCAGTATAATCAAAGAGTGTCATATATCAAAAAGAAAATGGAGGTGGACATGGTTTTTATTCTGGCAAGGTGTGGCACATTTATTGGCACATTTATTTGGAAAGAATTTATTAAAAATGACATGCCGAGACTCTGATACAAACAATAATTTTATTCCTTCACCCTGTTTGGCCAGAATATTTCCTTTAAGTATCTGCATTGATGTATATTCAAGCTTGTTCCAACTGAAAATTATTTATACTTATCTTGCTTTTTTGTAACATTCCCTGCTGTTGACTTATATGGTTTTGTGCGCATTGCCAAGGCAGTTATTTTAACAGACTCCTTGGCCTTTATTCACAGACAATCAAAGCTGGTGCTTTATGTGTTTATAGTGCAAATATTTTTCTTATTAACAGCCCTATAATTGGTTATGAATAAAATACAAATTGGCATGCTAAAAGGAAAAATAAAAAAGAATAGCCATGTGACTATTCCAAAATAGAGCTGAGAAGGCAGGCATGTAGTAGATGATTACAGATTGAAAGGAGAATTTACTTCTCATCCTTCTATAGTTTGGAAAATGAGTTTTGCTTGCTCTCTTAACTTCTCCACCCAGAGGCTCAGATTGGATCAACAGGGAGATGGCCAAGTCAAATCAAAATCCACAACTCCAATTCGAAACCTGAACTCATTGGCTTCCAAAGGTTTGGAAGGTCCAGTTAATAACAATCTCAGATAATTCTAGCATCCAAGCAAAATAATTAAGGGAGTCAGGATTAGTCTAGCCAGTTGTTTAAGCCATGTAGCTAAGATATTCTGCTGGCTGGTTAAATTTGTTATTGTCAAATAATTATTCTGACAGCTCTGTAGATTCCATCTATGGAAAATATTAGCCTTATCAATTAGCAGGCGTTAAACATACTTTAAACATAGGTGATAGTCCATAGAAGTACTGACAGAGGGCTGGAATATTTTTTCTTTATCTTGGATAGTAGCTGTGCTGCTATTTATGTCATTCTGCCTGCAGTATACAACACCATACCTGGGAATATGTTTAGATAATGTGCTTACCCAAACTACCCACCCAGAGACGATGCTGTTCAATACCTGAATACTATCATTGTGCTCCCCTTATCATACTAATATAGTTGTCCCTCAGTATACATGGGAGATTGGTTCCAGGAGCCCCCGTGGATACCAAAATTCATGGATGCTCTCAAGTTGCTTACATAAAATGGCATAGTATGTATGTATTTTTTCCCACTCCCAGCTTTTTTTTTTTTTAATTTATTTATTTTATTTATTTATTTTTGGCTGTGTTGGGTCTTCGTTGCTGCACGCGGGCTTTCTCTAGTTGCGGCGAGCGGGGGCTGCTCTTTGTTGTGGTGCGCGGGCCTCTCATTGCAGTGGCTTCTCTCATTGTGGAGCACGGGCTCTAGGCGCGCGGGCTTCAGTAGTTGCGGCACATGGGCTCAGTAGTTGTGGCTCACGGGCTCTAGAGCACAGGCTCAGCAGTTGTGGCACACGAGCTTAGTTGCTCCGCGGCATGTGGGATCTTCCCGGACCAGGGATCGAACCCGTGTCCCTTGCATTGGCAGGCGGATTCTCAACCACTTGCGCCACCGGGGAAGCCCCCCACTCCCAGCTTTGTACCTGTGAGAATGTACCTTCTTAGAGGCTACAAAGCTGGGAGTAGAGAACAGGAGGAAATTGTCCTCACATGTCACAGAAAATCAAGACAATATTGTTAAGTAAAATTAAAAATCAACACTTGGAAAAAATGTAACATGCCACAAGCATAATAGACTGTATTTCTTTCGTATTTATCACTAAGCTCTGTGTATTAAATCAGACACAACTTATTAAGCCATATATTAGAAAATTATACCTTTCCTGGTGCATGCATATAACTTCTGTGATTCCAAGTAAAAATGTCATTAGTGAGAGGATCAGTGTTGGGTATTAATATGCTAATGATTCTTTGTTCAGCGACTATCCACAATCATTGCATTTGCTATTACAAAATGAAGATGTACGTACTTGGATCTTTGAAACCTAGACTAATCCAGATAGATACCCTTAATAGAGTTAATGGATGCCTGGCAATTTTTTTTATCACATTGCCATCTTTCCTGATTGTCTCCTTTGATCAGATAGCCATTGAAAACAGCTAGGTACCAAGTAACACAGATTTCCTTTTACAAAATAAATGGTTTTCCATCAATAATATAATGAAATTTGTTTATTCATACTTCACCTAAGTCCCCAAGAGAATTTAAGATGTCAAATAAAATTCTGTGTAAGGTAAAGTATTCCAAAACTAGAAGAGAAAGATGAGATGAAGACAAGAGGAAGGATCCTTTGTGAAATGCATGCAGCAAATTTGTCTTTCTAGTAAGTAACAAAAAATGATCAAATGCATATTTTTCAGTATTCAGAAAACAAAAGCAAACCTATTTCCCAGAAATAGCACTTTCTCCCTGATTTTGCAACTAAAGCAATTTTGTTTCCACCCATGACTCCTCTAAAAGAGGACAGTGCTACCAATATCATCCTTAGATTTAGCATGGTGTTTTGAGGGTTGCTTCTTAAAATATCCCTCAAAGTCAGCCAAAATTATAATGGCCACAACTGTTCAGTACAGATAATTTTACAGGGGCCAGAACAGTTGATTCATGGCTGCAATTTGATGCTATCCTGACTTCATCCAACTACAGATTTATAAGTATTTAGGGCATAAATGCATGACCTATCCTTCAGGCATTAACTGTGTTATAGTGCTTCACTCATCTGAGATTTGGGTAAATATTGAGCATCAGTAAATCTGTTATTCTTTTTTTTTCTTTTAACATCTTTATTGGAGTAGAATTGCTTCACAATGGTGTGTTAGTTTCTCCTGTATAACAAAATGAATCAGCTATACATATACATATATCCCCATATCTCCTCCCTCTTGTGTCTCCCTCCCACCTTCCCTATCCCACCCCTCTAGGTGGACACAAAGCACTGAGCTGATCTCCCTGTGCTATGGGGCTGCTTCCCACTAGCTATCTATTTTACATTTGGTAGTGTATATATGTCCATGCCACTCTCTCACTTCATCCCAGCTTACCCTTCCCCCTCCCTGTGTCCTCAAGTCCATTCTCTATGTCTGTGTCTTTATTCTGGTCCTGCCCCTAGGTTCTTCAGAAGCATTTTTCTTTTTAGATTCCATATATATGTGTTAGCATATGGTATTTGTTTTTCTCTTTCTGACTTACTTCACTCTGTATGACAGTCTCTAGGTCCATCCAAATGGACAAGTGACTCAATTTCATTTCTTTTTATGGCTGAGTAATATTCCATTGTATATATGTGCCACACCTTCTTTATCCATTCACCTGTTGATGGACAATTAGGTTGCTTCCATGTCCTGGCTATTGTAAATAGAGCTGCAATGAACATTGTGGGGCATGACTCTTTTTGAATTATGGTTTTCTCAGGGTATATGCCCAGTAGTGGGATTGCTGGGTCGTATGATACTTCTATTTTTAGTTTTTTAAGGAGACTCCATACCGTTCTCCATAGTGGCTGAATTAATTTACATTCCCACCAACAGTGCAAGAGGGTTCCCTTTTCTCCACACCCTCTCCAGCATTTATTGTTTGTAGATTTTTTGATGATGGCCATTCTGACTGGTATGAGTCGATAACCTCATTGTAGTTTTGATTTGCATTTCTCTAATGGTTAGTGATTTTGAGCATCCTTTCATGTGTTTGTTGGCAATCTGTATATCTTCTTTGGAGAAATGTCTATTTGGGTCTTCTGCCCATTTGTGGATTGGGTTGTTTGTTTTTCTGATATTGAGCTGCCTGAGCTGCTTGTAAACTTTGGAGATTAATCCTTTGCTAGTTGCTTTGTTTGTAAATATTTTCTCCCATTCTCAGGGTTGTCTTCTCGTATCTTTTATGGTTTCCTTTGCTGTGCAAAAGCTTTTAAGTTTCATTAGGTCCCATTTGTTTATTTTTGTTTTTATTTCTATTTCTCTAGGAGGTGGGTCAAAAAGGATCTTGCTGTGATTTATGTCATAGAGTGTTTTGCCTATGTTTTTCTCTAACAGTTTTATAGTGTCTGGCCTTACATTTAGGTCTTTAATCCATTTTGAGTTTATTTTTGTGTATGGTGTTAGGGAGTGTTCTAATTTCATTCTTATACATGTAGCTGTCCAGTTTTCCCAGCACCACGTATTGAAGAGGCTGTCTTTTCTCCATTCTACATTCTTGCTTCCTTTATCAAAGATAAGGTGACCATATGTGCGTGGGTTTATCTCTGGGCTTTCTATCCTGTTCCGTTGATCTATATTTCTGTTTTTGCACCAGTGCCATACTGTCTTGATTACTGTAGCTTTGTAGTATAATGTGAAGTCCAGGAGCCTGATTCCTCCACCATCAGTTTTTCTTTCTCAAGATTGCTTTGGCTATTCGGGGTCTTTTGTGTTTCCATACGAATTGTGAAATTTTTTGTTCTAGTTCTGTGAAAAATGCCATTGGCAGTTTGAGAGTAGTTTGATTGCATTGAATCTGTAGATTGCTTTAGGTAGTATAGTCATTTTCACAGTGTTGATTGTTCCAATGCAAGTACATGGTATATCTCTCCATCTGTTTGCATCATCTTTAATTTCTTTCATCAGTGTCTTATAGTTTTCTGCATACAGGTCTTTTGTCTCCTTAGGTAGGTTTATTTCTAGGTATTTTATTCTTTTTGTTGCAGTGCTAAAAGGGAGTGTTTCCTTAATTTCTCTTTCAGATTTTTCATCATTAGTGTATAGGAATGCCAGAGATTTCTGTGCATTAATTTTGTATCCTGCTACACTACCAAATTCATTGATTAGCTCTAGCAGTTTTCTGGTAGCATCTTTAGGATTCCCTATGTATAGTGTCATGTCATCTGCAAACAGTGACAGTTATACTCTTCTTTTCCAATTTGGATTCCTTTTGTTTTTTTTCTTCTCTGATTGCTGTGGCTAAAAGTTCCAAAACTATGTTGAATAACAGTGGTGAGAGTGGGCAACCTTGTTTTGTTCCTGATCTTAGTGGAAATGGTTTCAGTTTTTCACCATTGAGAACAATGTTGGCTGTGGGTTTGTCATATATGGCCTTTATTATGTTGAGGTAAGTTCCCTCTATGCCTACTTTCTGGAGGGTTTTTATCAAAATGGGTGATAAATTTTGTCAAAAGCTTTTTCTACATCTATTGAGATGATCATATGGTTTTTATTCTTCAATTTGTTAATATGGTGTATCACGTTGATTGATTTGCATATATTGAAGAATGCTTGCATTCCTGGGATAAACCCCACTTGATCATGGTGTATGTTCCTTTATTTTTTTTTTCGCGGTACGCGGACCTCTCACTGTTGTGGCCTTTCTCGTTGCGGACCACAGGCTCTGGACGCGCAGGCTCAATGGCCATGGCTCACAGGCCCAGCCCGTCCACGGCATGTGGGATCTTCCTGGACTGGGGCATGAACCCGTGTCTCCTGCATCGGCAGGCAGACTCTCAACCACTGTGCTACCAGGGAAGCCCCATATGTTCCTTTTAATGTGCTGTTGGATTCTGTTTGCTAGTATTTTGTTGAGGATTTTTGCATCTATGTTCATCAGGGATATTGACCTGTAGTTTTCTTTCTTTGTGATATCTTTGTCTGATTCTGGTATCAGGGTGATGGTGGCCTCGTAGAATGAGTTTGGGAGTGTTCCTCCCTCTGCCATATTTTGGAAGAGTTTGAGAAGGATAGGTGCTAGCTCTTCTCTAGATGTTTGATAGAATTAACCTGTGAAGCCATCTGATCCTGAGCTTTTGTTTGTTGGAAGATTTTTAATCACAGTTTCAATTTCAGTGCTTGTGATTGGTCTGTTTATATTTTCTATTTCTTCCTGGTTCAGTCATGGAAGGTTGTGCTTTTCTAAGAATTTGTCCATTTCTTCCAGGTTGTCCATTTTATATATATCTATATATATATCTATATATATATATAGTTGCTTGTAGTAATCTCTCATGATCCTTTGTATGTCTGCAGTGTCAGTTGTTACTTCTCCTTTTTCATTTCTAATTCTAGTGATTTGAGTGTTCCCCTTTTTTTCTTAATGAGCCTGGCTAATGGTTTATCAATTTTGTTTATCTTCTCAAAGAACCAGCTTTTCTATCTTTTCTATCATTTCCTTCATTTCTTTTTCATCTATTTCTGATCTGATCTTTATGATTTCTTTCCTTCTGCTAACTTTGGGGTTATTTTGTTCTTCTTTCTCTAATTGCTTTAGGTGTAAGGTTAGGTTGTTTATTTGAGATTTCTCTTGTTTCTTGAGGTAGGATTGTATTGCTATAAACTTCGTCATATTTTCATTGTCATTTGTTTCTAGGTATTTTTTGATTTCCTCTTTGATTTCTTCAGTGATCTCTTGGTTATTTAGTAGTGTATTGTACTATCGTACTTGATACGATTTCAATTTTCTTAAATTTACCAAGGCTTGTTTTGTGACCCAAGATATGATCTATCCTGGACAATGTTCCTCGAGCACTTAAGAAGAAAGTGTATTCTGTTGTTTTTGGATGGGATGTCCTATAAATATCAATTAAGTCCATCTTGTTTAATGTATCATTTAGAGCTTGTATTTCCTTATTTACTTTCATTTTGGATGATCTGTCCATTAGTGAAAGTGGGTGTTAAAGTTCCCTTTTATGATTGTGTTACTGTCAATTTCACCTTTTATGGCTGTTAGCATTGCCTTATGTACTGAGGTGCTCCTATATTGGGTGCATAAATATTTACAATTGCTATATCTTATTCTTTGGTTGATCCCTTGATCATTTTGTAGTGTCCTTCTTTGTCTCTTGTAATAGTCTTTATTTTGAAGTCATTTTTTCTGATGTGAGAATTGCCATTCTAGCTATCTTTTGATTTCCATTTACATGGAATATCTTTTTCCATCCCCTCACTTTCAGTCTGTATGTGTCCCTAGGTCTAAAGTGGGTCTCTTGTAAACAGCATATATGCGGGTCTTGTTTTCGTATCCATTCAGCCAGTCTATGTCTTTTGGTTGGAGCATTTAATCCATTTACATTTAAGGTAGTTATCGATATGTATGTTCCTATTACCATTTTCTTAATTGTTTTGGGTTTCTTACTGTAAGTCTTTTCCTTCTCTTGTGTTTCCTGCCTAAAGAACTTCCTTTAGTATTTGTTGTAAAGCTGGTTTGGTGGTGCTGAATTCTCTTAGCTTTTGCTTGTCTGTAGAAGTTTTAATTTCTCCATGGAACCTGAATGACATCCTTTCTGGGTAATCTTGGTTGTACGTTTTTCCCTTTCATCACTTTAAATATGCCCTTCCACTCCCTCCTGGCTTATGGAGTTTCTGCTGAAAGATTACCTGTTAAACTTATGAGGATTCCCTTGTATTTTATTTGTGGTTTTTCCCTTGCTGCTTTTAATATTTTTTCTTTGTATTTAATTTTTGATAGTTTGATTAATATGTGTCTTGGCATGTTTCTCCTTGGATTTATCCTGTATAGGACTCTCTGCCCTTCCTGGACTTGACTGACTATTTCCTTTCCTATATTAGGGAAGGAATATAGGAAATAATCTCTTTAAATATTTTCTCAGTCCCTTTCTTTTTCTCTTCTCCTTCTGGGACCCCTACAGTTCTTATGTTGGTGCGTTTAATGTTGTCTCAGAGGTCTCTGAGACTGTCCTCAATTCTTTTCATTCTTTTTTCTTCATTCTGCTCTGTGGTAGTTATCTCCATTATTTTACCTTCCAGGTCACTTATCTGTTCTTCTGCCTCAGTTATTCTGCTATTGGTTCCTTACAGAGAATTTTTAATTTCATTTATTGTGTTGTTTATCATTGTTTGTTTGGTCTTTCATTCTTCTAGGTCCTTGTTAAATGTTTCTTGTATTTTCTCCATTCCATTTCCAAGATTTTGGATCATCTTTACTATCATTAGTCTGAATTCTTTTTCAGGTAGACTGCCTATTTCCTCTTCATTTGTTTGATGTGGTGGGTTTTTACCGTGCTCCTTCATCTGCTGTGTATTTCTCTGTCTTCTCATTTTGCTTAATTTATTGTGTTTAGAGTCTCCTTTTTGCAGGCTGCAGGTTCGTACTTCACATTGTTTTTAGTGTCTCCCCCCAGTGGGTAAGTTTGGTTCAGTGGGTTGTGTAGGCTTCCTGGTGGAGGTGACTGGTGCCTGTGTTTTGGTGGATGATGCTGGATCTTGTTTTTCTGGTGGGCAGGACCACATCCGGTGGTGTGTTTTAGGGTGTCTGTGAACTTAGTATGATTTTAGGCAGCCTCTCTGCTAATGGGTGGGGTTGTGTTCCTGTCTTGCTAGTTGTTTGGAATAGTGTCCAGCACAGTATCTTGCTGGTTGTTGAGTGGAGCTGGATCTTAGTGTTGAGATGGAGATCTCTGGGAGAGCTTTTGCTGTTCAATATTTTATGGAGCCGGGAGGTCTCTGGTGGACCAATGTCCTGAACTCGGCTCTCCCACCTCAGAGGCTCAGGCCTGACACCTGGCCTGAGCACCAAGACCCTGTAAGCCACTCGGCTGCTAGTGTTGGAGGGTCTCCTGCGGAGGCGGGGTGTGGCTAGGGCTCGGCTGGGGCTCATGGCCAGGACAAGGATCTGGGAGCAGAAGTTCTCTGTTACTCTTTGAATAATAGATGTAGTGCAGATATAGGTTGTGACTGTAAAACATAGAGTCATTTGCTTTAATAGTTCTCTGTCTTTGGAATTTGACAAGCTTTCCCAGAACACAAGCCTGAAGAGAAAGCCAGTAATAGCCTGCAGGTTAAACTGAACTCTCAATAAGTAATTTGGGGCCCACTTTAGCATAGACTAATAGATGATCAACGCCTTAGAGTTCTACTGTATTACCTAGGACAGGGTCACATTTGTTTTAATTACAACAGGAAACATTTTTTAAATGTATGTAGCCTTGGAAGTAAAAAAAGTCTCAGAATTACCTGTCCCTCACCAATGTAACTTCCAAAAGTAACATATTTTGATTGTGAAATGTCCACTTAGGGACAGAATTAGCTGAGTTACTATATGAGATTGTCACCTATTTAGAAGTTAAATGTTGGCATATAGGATCATATATTTTTAAAATATGACCTTAATGTTAGTTAAACTTTTGCTTCTCTCTGAAAGCAGTTAGAGAACATTGCCAGTAATTGACTCGAGTCATTCCAATTTTGTTAACAGTGCTTCTGTATCATCATGATATCTATATATAAACACAGGTTTGTTTCATTTTTGAATGGGTTGATTTCTACTCAGAAGAACAGAAATTACCATCCATGCTTTGACCTACTGAAAGTAGTCTTTATGGTTCCTCAAAGTTGTTCCAGCTAATCCAGACTTTAGAAGTGTTATTTGGAATAAGCATTAATACCGTGGGGTAGTATATAGTAATATGGCAAAGAGAACTCAGAACGGTATGCTTAGTATCAAAAATATTGAGAGAGTGGATTAGGGGGAAATTTTTATCTTTGTTTTCTTTACAGCTCTGCCATGAAGTAAAGCTTCGGAGGAAAATCAACATGAGTGAACGTGCGATTATTGATGTTGATTGTGAAAAGGCCATTCAAGACAAAATGATGGAATCTTCTCCAAATTATCCCAATTCAAGACAATGTGAATTTACAGGGATGAATCACAGGGATGGTCTGGGGGAAAAAGGTAAAACAGAGCAGAGCTTACTCAGTGAAAGAAATCAAATGTGTAAGGAACAAAAAACAATCAAAAAATCAAAAGTAGGGTTAATGGATTCTATGGCCACAGACAACCAAAAGGAATGTAAGACCCCGCCTGACCTGAGGGCTTCTGAGGAAGAGAACAAGAGCTGCTCTGGTGCCCTCAACACAGTAAGTAAGACGGGATTGGCCTAGAACTGTTTCTAAAGACATATTTACATTTCAAAGGACTAACATGCTATTGCTTATATGTATAAAGGCTCTTGAAGAACTTGCCAAAGTTAGTGAAGAACTATGCAGCTTTCAAGAGGAAATTCGAAAGCGTTCTAACCACAGAAGGTAGGCTGGTACATCTATGATGATTTTTATGTTGGAAAATCAAAAAGAATGTTGTTTTTAGTTAATGAATCCAAACTTCCTTTAGCATCTAACACTTTGTTAGTGAGAATTAATAATGCTGTTTAAATATGTTATCTTAGGAGATAAAAACTTAAATTGTATGTTTCTCTGTTCACTAATTCTTTTTTTTTTTTTTAAGGAATTTTGCCTTATTTATTTATTTATTTTATTTTACTTTGGCTGTGTTGGGTCTTCGTTTCTGTGTGAGGGCTTTCTCTAGTTGCGGCAAGTGGGGGCCACTCCTCATCGCGGTGCGCATGCCTCTCACTATCGTGGCCTCTCTTGTTGCGGAGCACAGGCTCCAGACAGGCAGGCTCACTAATTGTGGCCCACAGGGCTAGTTGCTCCACGGCATGTGGGATCTTCCCAGACCAGGGCTCGAACCCGTGACCCCTGCATTGGCAGGCGGACTCTCAACAACTGCGCCACCAGGGAAGCCCCTCTGTTCACTAATTCTTAAAGCAAATCTTATAGTTCTCTTTGTAGTTTGACTCTTAGGCGTACTTTACTTTTTTGGTATTTAGTGAAGTTATACTAACCATAATAAATAATAAACAAGTATACTCCAATGGAGTTCTTTTTTATTTTGAGTATATGGCCAGTGGAAGAGTATACTGGGTTAATCTAGTTAAATACATCTTTAAACTATGTCAAATTTAACAATGGTGTTTTAATTATATAATGATGTTCTACTGAAACATTTTGAGCCATTTATTTTTCTACATTATATATATAATGGAAGCATTCATAATTTTCAGAATAACATATTGTAAATATGGACACACATACATACTTATACAGTGCTGTAAAACATGCTCTTTCAGTTCAGAAGCACCCTTATAACTTAAGGGTAAGTTTTAGCCAAATTGAAAAATAAATTAGAATTCTCTACAAGTTAAGTAAAGATGGATTTTTCTAGGATCACCATTTATCTCCTAGTGGGGCAGTATACTTCTCTTTGAAGCTATAGGAATGTGGACCCTTATTTTTCTTTAGCTTTTTGGAAGCTCAGAGAGAATTTTTGTACTGACTTACAACAGATTTTCTTACCCAACCATGTTTTTTACATAATTTTGCCTTCCACTTTTCCATTGAGCTTTTGCCTACTACTCTCTGCTAATGGGTATTTGTCTGCACTTTATTGTAAGCTATGTCGTAATATAAGTTGAAGAGATATAAATATGATTTATATGTATCAATATGATTAATTAATGTTAATTTGTGAACCCACATTCTTGCAATATTTAGGTTTTTATTTCAATAATTCTTACTTGCCAAATTTTTTTTATACAAACCACACCTGGTATAAAGTTCTCACTGCCACTTATTGCCTTTCGAGAAAAGCTCAAAATTCTTAGTATGTAATTCAAAGTCATTACAGTTTGACCTAATATTTCTCTTTTATTTGCTGTCATCCTTCCCACTTTTTTATATTCCATCCACACCAAAGTACTCATTGTTCCTTGAATAGCCACACTATTTGTACTGCAGCTCTCTTTTGCTTATATGTCCTTTACTCATAAAAAAAAAAAAAAAAAAAAAAAAGATGATCACTTTTCTTTCATGCCCAAATAACACATTTGGTATTGCTCATGTTTGTTTGCGCTTTGATTCAGATTTCTGTCACACTACTTAGAATGTTATTTCAAATTCAAGGGGAGGAGTTTGAGCTCAGAAGACGTTATAAATAGGAATTCAGTAGGCAAAGCGGATATAAGGAAATGGCAAGAGAAAACCTATAGAAATGGGAACGCCAATAGCAGACACCCAAGAGACTACACACAGTCGAGTCTGAGTGTAGGAGAAGTTTAGGTAATAGAAAAAAATGAGAGACACAGTTAAAAAGGTAGTTTGGGTCAGACTATGTATATAGAGTTGAATACAACACTGAGAGGTGGCCTTTATCCTTCAGTAAAAGGGACTTGAAGTTTTGTACTATGGGATTTATATAAAAATAATGTTTAAGGAAGTTTGACTCCTTTTCCTATAACAGAATCCATTGCTTTAGCCCCAGTGTCTTTTAAGAGTTTATCATAGGGCTTCCCTGGTGGCGCAGTGGTTGAGAGTCCACCTGCTGATGCAGGGGACACAGACTCGTGCCCCGGTCTGGGAAGATCCCACATGCCGCGGAGCGGCTGGGCCCATGAGCCATGGCCTCTGAGCCTGCGCGTCCGGAGCCTGTGCTCTGCAAAGGGAGAGGCCACAACAGTGAGAGGCCCGCGTACCGCATGTAACTAATATGCCTTATGGAGATCACATGATTAACAACAACCAGTGCATTACTCCAACCAGTTTAGAAAAAAAAAAGAAAAATAGAAAGAATCTGAGCTGTACTGATGTTTTCCAAAACAATTCTAAGAAAAAAGGTGGAATTGATAAAACTGATCTGCAAAGAAGTGAAACCCCACCAGTTCCTCCTCCAAGAAGTACATCTCGAAATTTTCCCAGCTCATGTTCTGCACAAGCCCATGAAAGTTTGAAGGAAAGTTCAGACCACAATGGCTGGGTGGCCCAAGGAGGTCAAGGCGAAAAGAACTGCAACCCTCATTTCCTCTGGAGGCACGACGAGATGCCTACGCCATGTCTAAATGAAAGGAAGACTTTGAAAGATATTATCACATTTTCTTCTTTGGCACCAGAAACCAAAATAGATAAAAAGCCTTCATGTAATGAAAATGTTGGACTTAACACGTGGTCATGCGACACTGGGATTGGTGCAAAAAACAGCCCCTCTACACCATGGTTTCAGAAAACCTGCTCTATTCCCAATAAGCCAAAATATGAAAAGGTGATTCCAGATCACCCTGCTAAATCTCATCCTGATCTTCACAAAAGCAATGTCTGTAGCTCCTTGGTGACACAGAGCAGCGGCCCACTGAGAAGTTTCAGTTGTGGCTTTGAAAGGACTACTAGGAATGAAAAGCTGGCAGCAAAGACTGATGAATTTAACAGAATCGTATTTAGAACAAATAGAAATTGTCATGCAGTACAGCAAAGTCAAAGCTACTCAGAACCATCTGAAGATCTTCAGCCCTGTGATACTTTAATTTCTTGCACAGGTAACATCTCAGAAAGTGACAGTGTTTCTGACATTCTGAAAACCAGTGCCCCCATGCCTGTGCCCAGGGAAAATGTGCATGATAATTCCACCAAAAAACCCACAACAGGCCTATTCAGACAAATGCAGGAACACATAAGCCCTAGCAGTTACCGGAATATGCTCCACGAGCATGACTGGAGACCAAGTAATTTGTCTGGCCGACCAAGGTCAGCTGATCCCAGGTCAAATTATGGTGTGGTGGAAAAGCTGCTGAAAACCTATGATACATCAGCAGGGTCCGCATTGCAAAATTCTAAATGCTTCCAGGCTAATTGGACCAAGTGTAATTCTGATGTCAGTGGTGGAGCCACATTAAGTCAGCATTTTAAAAAGCTCCAAATAGAACAAGAGCTTCAGCAAAAGCCAGCTATGTGTGGAGCACAGCAAGTGAAGCAAGGAGCAGATCGGAAAAAGGTAACTGAGGTGAGAAAGAAATTTAACATTTTGGTAGAACTGCATCCATATTTAGCAATGGCTCCGAGTTCAGTCAGTTGCCCATTCATATAAATAGAATGTAGGCACATGTTTTGACATCTTCTTTGTTCCTTGACCCTTCATTTGTGAATAAATATAAACCTTAGAATTGTAACTCAACATGAACTTTTAAAAGCATAGTTTTTTTTTTTGTTTGTTTGTTTGTTTTGCGGTACGCGGGCTTCTCATTCTTGTGGCCTCTCCCGTTGCGGAGCACAGGCTCCAGACGCACAGGACCAGCCGCCATGGCTCACGGGCCCAGCAGCTCCGCGGCATATGGGATCTTCCCGGCCCGGGGCACGAGCCCGTGTCCCCTGCATCGGCAGGCGGACTCTCAACCACTGCGCCACCAGGGAAGCCCTAAAGTGTTTATATTTTTATAAGTATATGGGAAGTATTTATAAATAACTTGCACTTTTCGGTTATTAGCTATGGTTGGTTCAGTCATTCCCAGAATTTGATTCATGTTCTTCCTCAGGGGATTAGTCACATGAATATGAGTTTGGGTGAAAAAAAATAATTTAAAATAGTGCCTTGGGGTGCCCCGGTCCGGGAGGATCCCACATGCCGCGGAGCGGCTGGGCCCGTGAGCCATGGCCGCTGAGCCTGCACGTCCGGAGCCTGTGCTCCACAGCGGGAGGGGTCACAACAGTGAGGCCCGCGTACCGGAAAAAAAAAAAAAATAGTGCCTTATGGAGTTCTCTTATTGTGGAGCTAAAAGGCAGTATATGAAAAGAAAAATGATAGTATAGCATAAAAAAATTTAAGGTCATTATTATTTGTATAAATTCTTTGTGTGGAAATTGCCCACCCCCCAGAAAAATGGGTATTTAAATAAACTGTTATCCTTTCTTTATTCCGGTTTGCTTGCAAAAGAGTACAGTTTTAGAGGAGAAAAAGAGGTTGAAGAGATTTGTATTTACAATGAAGAGCTATCCATCAGCACCTTGTATGCATAATTTATAAAAAGTTACAAGGTGACATACTGTTATAATTAGCCAATGCTTTGAAAATCCTGGTTTTACATAGTGCAATGTATATGCACCATTGTTTTAAATGAGGCAGATTGCCTCCTTCTGGTGTAAGAAATTATTTTTATGAGGCTTTCAAGCCCTACAAAAGTATCAGTTTACATGTAGTTTATCAGAAACTTTGCCTGTTTGCCCAAAGTACAAATAATTCTCCTGCTTTTCTATTTCTGTTTTTTTTAGTTGAGCCCATAAATACCTGTAAGGTCTTGTGGCTTCAGATGGGAAATGAAAGCACATATACAATAATCAGCCAAAATTCTCATGAACAAATATTACTAAATATCTCCCATTTTTGTACTGATAGGAGCTTTGGGAAGGGTCCTCTGCTGTCGATCGTTAAGAGTAGTTCTCCATCCCTCCCCCCCCAGGAACAGGTTTTAAAAAATAAGACTCCAAGGAGAGAAAAAGCAAATGCAGGTTACTCTCATAGAAATAAAGGCTGTCCTTACTTCCCGTCTCGGGTGAAAGAGCACAGGCTTTGTTAAGAAGGTCAATAAGCATCAAAGTACAAAATGTATCATGAAAGCTTTTTAACTGTTTCTTAATGACAAGAGTCCTAGAATGCTTTTCTTTCATTAAAATAACAAGAAAGAGAAGTAGGAAGAAATGAAAGAAAGCAAAGGGAAGGGAAGGGAAAAGTTTTCAGGCTTCGGAAGATACCCAAGATAGATCGCAACTCTTTCTTAGAAAATAGAATGAAGTTATATTTTAAAGTATTTTAATGATAATTTTGAAACTTTATAGAGATAGTTACAGTGGTTCTTAGTGGGGAAAAAAAAAGATAGCATCAGACAAATCATTTGCTGGTTTGTGTGTCTTTTGCTTATGATCTCTAAAATTGTCAACTTGACATAAAATAACTGGATATAAATTAATTCTTTAAATTATTATCTTTAAAAAAAAAACACTAAAATATCCTAACACTCCACTAAGAAAAATCTTTAGTTCTATCATATCAATTTTATCTAGCATGAACTTTTGAGTTCTAACATAACATTAACTCATAGTTAGTTCTAAAAAGAAATCAGTTGTATTAAAACTTGTCAGTGTGGAGATCTACAAGATTATCAAGTGCCATATTCATATTAAAAGTGAATTGTTTTGATTAAAACATTCGAGACCAGGAATAGCTTCTTTAATTTTCAATGCTTTTTTCTTGCTTGTAAACACGGTAATACAATACATTAATCCTATAGTTGGGATCCATAGCATATTAAGCTCATTGTTGGTGCCTGAATAGTGAGATGAATGTCTTCATTTGTGTCTTAAGGAATCCGTGGCAGTGAAATGCTCACATGGAAAAGGATTTTCCCGACCTGCTAGACCAGCAAATCGCCGTCTCCCGTCCAGGTGGGCATCCAGATCTCCATCGGCACCCCCTGCCTTGCGGAGAGCTGTCCACAACTTTCCCATTTCTCTGCGATCAGAAGCATCGATGGTCTGAGTCTCTGGCCTGGATTGCTGGATTACAAAAGTCCCAATTTTCAAACAGAGTATTCTGAGTGTTTACAACCAATTCTGTCTCTTCTGTATCTTTCAAGATTACTGGGACAATTGAAATCTTAACTTCCCATCAGTCTTCAGTGTTTTTAATCTATGGAACAATTATCCTCCAGTATTTTGATTTTTTAGATCAGAATTTTTTAATGCCATCCTCATTAATTTGCCAATATGATTTAAGTTGAAACAATGTACTATATTGTATATTCCAACTTTCTTGCAAGTGGCAGAAAGCAAGGTTATTTGCATGGCCGTGTGTTTTGTAGGTGCATGTGTTGATATCGGAAGTATCAGTATGTATTTAGATAAGAAAAACTTATGTGCTAGTGTTGACTTTGAAATTATAACATGTATACCTATATATTCTTTGTGTTTATTTAAAATTTTTAAAAATATACAGTATTATTTATATTTTTTTATACCTTTTAATAGGTATCCACTTAAGGCTCTTGAGGTACCTATTATTAGCTAACCACTTCCTTGGTCCCAACTACATACAAAACTAATTATACATATATCTAACATTAGTAGATTTCTACAGACAACTCATAATTCCTTAACCCATATAAAGATAGACTAATACCATTGATCTCCTTGTTTACTCTTTTAAATAAATAAAAGTGTCACAGGTTTAAACAGATTAGCCTTCTAAAGCAAACATAAAATGTTCACAAAACCTTTGATATATCATTCAGCAGTCTATTGCGGCTTTCCCTGTATACTTGATCCTCAGAGCCAGCATCCTAAGACTGCTTTATAAACGACGTGACTAAACCATGAATTCATTTTGGCAACTTCAGTAACAAAATACCTTAAATAGGATATAAAAAGAAATTCAATTATGCTGAATTCTACTCTTTGGTAAAATTATAGTAAATTTTTGTTCAGCTACTTTATTTGGAGTCATACATATTGAGAGGTAAGTTATTCACTTTTTCCTTTTTCTAACCTTTCCCCTAAAATTAGTAGATAAGAGACTAATTCAATTTTTTTATTAACAAAGAAAATCAGGAATGATATTTCATTGAGAGCTGAATTATATTTCTTATAGTGTACTACATTAAAAAGCCTTAAACTAACCTTTGGCATCCATGGGGCAGCATAAGGGGCAGAAACTCTTTTGGGGCCACAGTTCATGAACAGTGAGCATATTATATCTATATTGAGAACTGACAGAAATTTGAATGTTGAGGTGCTTGGAATTCTACATGAAAGATCTTAGAAGCAACTTTGCTCTCCATGTCTCTATGTAAAACCAGCTACATTATTAGATAGTAATTCTATTTAAGCTTTTCTTTTACTAGCAAAAAGGTTAAGGAATTTTTATGGCAAAAGTATTCAAAGAACCTTCTCCTTGTGATACATTCTAACAATTTAGAGAGATTCAATTCATTATACCATGACTTGAGGTAAAGTAATTAATTTTCAAATTAAAGGCTCAAGACTGTTGCATGGTAATGGACAGATTCATACTTACCAATAGGAGAGCCTCCAGGAGTTGAGCAGAATTAAACTTCTAGAATGTGAGGTTGGAGCAGATGATAAGTAAAGGCTATAGATCCAGTCTTTTAATTCTTGTTTCTTTCAGGAATATCCTTTTCCATAGGAAGACTATCAGAGGAAAGTAACCTGGACATCAAATGATGTCACTCATGTAATATGCTTTTCATCTAGAAGGGAGAAAACACTGGGGAGGTGGTAGCCTATGGCATAAAATGATGGACCTGGTAGGAAGATTCTGCTGTGTAACACTGGAGAGCCTGCCCAAGGGCTGTGTGACACAGCTGCTCCTCTCCTTCATTGCATTCCAGGTAGTCTAATGTGGATCTGTGGTTCCTAACTTGAATTACAAGTCAGAATATTGAAGATCGCTTTTTAAATTAGATTCTTGACCTCACCCCATAATTACTAAAGCAGAATTTCCAAGGGTGGGGAGGGAATCTTGAGTCCTTAATGAAACAAAGCAAACTATTTGATGATTAGGGAGATTTGGAAGCAGTGACATTGATTCATACCGCAGTGGATGGGCACCATTGGGTAGTCATGTTACTTCTCTGGAACTTGCCTTTGTTATCTGTAAATTAAAAGGGTAATATTGTCAGGCATCACAATTTTATGCCACTTGTTCTAACCATTTGAATGAAAGAGGGGGACACATTTTAACATCTTACGTTGACAAAAAATCATAGAATATTAGAGCTGAAAAAAACTTAGCATCTAGTCCAACTCCTTGATTGTAAAGACGGAAAAACTAAAACAAGGATTATTTGAATGTTGTTTCCTCTTTTTAAATATTTTACAATTTTTATGGAAAAACCTATGAGTTAAATGGAAATTATCCTTGAAAATACATGTTTGATGTATCGTGATTTTTAACCAGTAGTTTTTCTACTTTGGATGGGCATTTTCTCCCCAACAACATACCCTTTATTATGCCATCATTGCTGGATTTAAGAAATTTGTAAACATTTCAGAAGCACTTGATTAGAAGTTTTCCCTGGCAGACTTTTTGGGGACGGGAAATCTTATATTATTTCAATAGAGGGTTATTGATATTATAGATGATCTCAGAAAGGAATAAGAATGAGGCAGAGAAGAGTGCTCGAGTTTCTGTGGGTGTGCGTGTGTGCACACGCGTGCACAACCCTTGCCCGAGTTCTCCATATTCCCTTATGCCTGAAGCCAAATATAAATGATGTTGCATAATTCATTTTATCAAAAATTATCCGTAACTTTCATTTATTTTTACATAGACAACGAAGATGACGAGATATTAACATGCACAAAACATGATTTACCTCTACATAGAGGATTTAGCCAGACTCCGTGTCATCCTGAGAAAACATCTGGACCTAAAAAGGAGAATCTGCTTTCCTACAAAGATTTTTAAAATTATTTTGAGGCACACTTGCTGACAAACAACTACTTGATAATAAAATCTCTTCAGTCATTGGAAGCTATCAAATAAAATAGGTGGGGAAACACTTACTGTGGCATCGGTATACGTGAGGAACATTTTTATTTTCCTCCTTTTCTGATGAAACTCCAGCTGAGAGTTTTTTAAAGTCTAAACTCAAATATGTACACAGTTCAACCTAGCGTCTCCTAAAATGTTTCTAGATAGTAGAGTCTAAAGACCAAGCCTGCCTGATTCCTACACCCGGCCGTATGCCAACACATCTAGTTTCTCATGTACTGACACCATTTTGTGCCCATTTTTCTGCTTATTGAGTCCGATTAAGTTTTGTTTGAAAAAGGGATACTCCCCTGAAATTCTCTTTTACATGATGAAATTAGTTAAATTATTTTTAGGCATAGTACAATTTCTAATATAGTACGATTTTACTTCAAATTCTGCACATTTCTTCTTAAATAACAAGTACCTTTGCCAGAATCTAGAATCATGACTTACTCATTCTACTATAGCTCAGAAAATATGCTCCTTCAAAAAATGAGCTTCATGAAGCAAAAAAATCAAAGCAAAGAAGAAAAAGTTGGGGGAGGAGTTTTAAGGCAAGTGTCGACTCAACATTTTTTAATCTTTGTCTCAGTGGGAAAAAAATCATAAGACTGAAAATCTGACATATATTACAATGATCTCATGAATCCAACAGGTAAGACTGGCAAATTCTGAAAAAAAAAAATTCTGCTTATACGAAGCTGTGATGGAGTCTAGAAATGAGAGAAGAATCTAGAATAGGAAGGACCTTAGAAACCACACAGAGAAATCTCATCTAGAGGAGAGAAACCCGAAACTTGGAGAGGTCTCCATGGCTGCCAGGGTTATAGGGCCAGGAACTCAGCCAGATTCAAACACCAGTGGTTTGCCTCCTTGTTCACCCATGTGCATCTGGGACTTGATGGTTTGCAAAGCACATTCATATGCCTTGACTTATTTACTTCTTAACAACAAGCTTCAAGGCAGCCATGATGATTTCTCATTACAGAAGGAAAAATTAAATAGCCAAGATAATAGAATAAATATTTCCCAAGATAATGTTTAGAAATAAATAGGTGGCTCTTTGACTCTTAGTTCAGGTTCTTTTCCCAAAGAAGAGAAGAGGAAGGCAAAGAGTGAATAGTTCCTTTTCACTTATGTTTTATGCATGACAATGGAATTGTTTATTTTGCTTTCACTGAGAATTTCTCTTAATTTTTTTATTAACATCTTTATCGGAGTATAATTTCTTTACAAGGGTCTGTTAGTTTCGGCTTTATAACAAAGTGAATCAGCTATACATATACATATATCCCCATACCTCCTCCATCTTGTGTCTCCCTCCCACCCTCCCTATCCCACCCCTCTAGGTGGTCACGAAGCACTGAGCTGATCTCCCTCTGCTATGCGGCTGCTTCCCACTAGTGATCTATTTTATATTTGGTAGTGTATGTATTTCCATGCCCCTCTCTCACTTTGTCCCAGCCTACCCTTCCCCCTCCCCATGTCCTCAAGTCCATTCTGTACTTCTGCGCCTTTATTCTGGTCCTGCCTCTAGGTTCTTCAGAACCATTTTTGTTTGTTAGATTCCACATATATGTGTTAGCATACGGTATTTGTTTTTCTCTTTCTTATTTAATTCACTCTGTATGACAGTCTCTAGGTCCATCCACATCACTACAAATAACTCAGTTTTGTTTCTTTTTATGGCTGAGTAATATTCCATTGTATATATGTGCCACACCTTCTTTATCCATTCATCTGTCGATGGACACTTAGGTTGCTTCCATGTCCTGGCTATTGTAAATAGAGCTGCAATGAACATTGTGGTATATGACTCTGTTTGAATTATGGTGTTCTCAGGGTATATGCCCAGTAGTGGGATTGCTGGGTCGTATGGTAGTTCTATTTTTAGTTTTTTGGTTTTTTTTTTTTGCGATACGCGGGCCTCTCACTGTTGTGGCCTCTTCCGTTGTGGAGCACAGTCTCCGGACGCGCAGACTCAG